ATGTGATTTAACATAATTAAATGTTGTGGGTTTGATTGGGATGTTATGATTTTTAAAGCACGAGTTACTTTTTAAGACCCTTATCTTTCATCAGTACCTGAATAGCAATTATATTCATTAGGTGGTCTGACATCTTGTTCTTGACACTGAAATTGGTAGAGTCCTTTTAACCTGCGTGCTGGGATGAAATGAGAACAGACCTGTCTGCTGGTTTTCTATTACAGATGAGTGATTGCTGGTCGGGGCTGGGATAATAAAGTAATTTAATTTTGGACATTGATTAACTTCTTAATTCAGATGTTGGGATCCTTTTCTACCCAGGTCAGCTCATGAGGATTTGGTGAGATGAATTTCATAAGCAAACAAGAAACGTGTTTGCCCAAGACCAGGGGAACTGCCCTGAGCTGTTTCTTACAAGTGTTTTCCTCTCTGCCTGGAATCACTTGGCCAGTAGCAGAGTGAACTTCGTAGCCTTCAGGCTGTGCTGTTAAATCTGGGACACTCAGAGTCAGAGGGCCTTTGGCTTCTGACTTGTTTCACACCTAAGGGTCTCTAAAACCCCTTTCATGAGAGAAGAGAAATAAGGAGGAGACCAAATTCCCATGTCTGAATTCTTGTTCGTGAAGGAAGTCTCCGTAGTGCCCTTACATGTAAGGGCAAGATCCCACTGTTCCCTCCACATATCAGTCTCTTTCCAGAAGCAGCTCCCCTGAGATATTTGCACAGTAAATTTTTGTTCTGCCTGTGGGACTTGCTGCAGTGTAGGGTAATATTCAGAGTGAGCCAAGGTGGACAGCCAGTTTGGATTACCTAAAATCTGCACAGCACCAGTGCCTCGGAGACAAAGGATGTTTTATTAGTACATGGGAGAAACTGCAACATTATTTTGTAATGTTTTTGGGAAGCAGGTTGATTATTTAGTGTTTTCCTGCTCTTTGTACCCAACATAAGGAGTGAAGGAAGAAGGCTGTTTTTTTTTGCCCAGACATTTGTGGAGTCTTTTTGTTCTGAACTATCCGAAGAGCAGGTGTGGAGTTGTTAAGACAGCTGTTTGGAGAAGAAGGTTAAGATCAGACTGTTAGAAAATGTTTTGCATACTTTATGTTAATTTGTCTTAATTACCTAAAATGCAAGAGAATCAGGCTGGCTGGCTGGATGTATTAAAGTCCCTGCAGAAGACAGGGCCCCAGACATTTTGTGCTTTTACTGCGATGACACCAAATTAATTTTTCTTTACAGAATGATTTATAAAGGCTTCTGGAATTGTCTACATTGTCCCACTTTCAAACCTTGGATGTGTAACCCTTTTAGTGGGGTCTCTAATGGGGCTATTAAAGGTTGCAGACCAAAGCAACTAAAGAGTGTCCTTAGAGCCATCTAGCCCAAGACTTTGCTAAATCATTTTTATTTTGTGGAGGAGATGACAGACTCGGCAGAGGCACAGCAGGTCATAAGGCACAACTTCTAACAGATTTTAGTTAGCACGAGGAAAATATTCTTTAAGTATTGAACATATCTGCTATGCTGTTTCGCTTGTGGCTCTGGAAGTCTCTGGTTAGTGCTTCACTCGGGCAGCTGCGAGATGTTACCTGGCACTGCAGAGCTATAGCAGCAACCTTAGAGATATGTTGCACATTACTATCCTCTTTCTTCACTTGCCTTTCCTCTTGTGGTATTTTTGAGGGGCTGAAACCGTCAGCTCTTCAGTCACCTTAACTTGTCATGACCGTCTTAGGAAAACAGTGTCTTTTTTCTTTCCCCCCCACAGAAAGTTAAGAGGTATTATATTTACAGTGGCACCTTCTTATTGTTTTAAAAACTGGAAATGAAGAGCTCCGTTACTGACAGGAGGGAATATAAACATGCCAGTTGGAGCAATCCAGTAGAGACTGAGGCTGGCAGCAAGTTTTAGTCTGTGACTCACTTGGAGCAGTAGCCTTGAATCACTCCTGCTTGCTGAGAGATTGCTGTTCGGAAGGGGCCAACTCTGATCATGATTCAGTGAAGGTCGTGCTGCAGATTCCTGATGTACAGAAGGGCAATTAGGATAAAAATCAGGCCCCAAAAATTTCAAAGCTTCACAGGACAGTGTCCAGTTGGGTAAGATGTCAGTTCTGGGATATCTTTTATATCCTAACTTGTGCAAGGTGCGTTCCTACCCCCAGCTTATGCAGTGGTGCTCCTGGACCACTGCAGCTATTAAAGTCCAGGCAAGATCATCACGGGATAGGGGAGCATTTTGTTCTGCATGAAGGAACTCACAACTGAACATGCAGTGTATGTGGTTAGACTTTGAGAGAATGATTGTACGTGCCTCCACAGATACAAATCAGAAATCTGGAAATCCCTGCATAAATATTGTCCAGTTTATTTTAAAGAAATAGCCTTTTGCCTTACTGTAAGGAAAGCTTGGCCAAGCAGCCTTTCTGTCTTCATCTCCCACCCCAGCCCAGCTTCCATCCCTGCCTCTATCCAGGTTCTCAGTAAATGCCTTAGTCACAGCCAAGTGACTGCAGTCTGAGGAGGCAGGTAGCAGAATGGGAAGTGCTCTTCCAGAAAGAAAGGCATGTCAGAATAAGCCACGTATCACAAACTCCTTCTAAAACACCCCAACTGTAACAGAAACAAATATCATATTGGCAATACCATAATGTTTGCATTCACACACCAGCTGTTACTCTTTCCCACAGGGACTTGTTTTTTTAAAAGGCTGGTGGAGGAAGTTTTGTTAAGCAACAAATCTAGCCTTATTTCCTATATTGGCTGAATATAATTTTCCTTGGAACGCTGGACTTTTATTTTTTTTTATATATTTGTGTAGTGCATGTATTAACACATAATGGATTCTCTTTCCAGAATATTTTTGACAGGCTGACAATAAAGCGTGGTGCACTCTGGAATTTAAAGCCATGCACACTCCTCTTATGGATTATTGGATTATCAGCTTTGGGTTTGTTGAACATTGTGTATGGCTGAGTAATTGGCATGCTAAATTTATGAATGACTGTTAATGAATAAACTTCTTTTACTGAAACTGAAATAGCAAAGCTATTCCTGGACCAGAAAGGCTGGCAAATTTTTGGCCTGTAATAAATTGAACATATAACACAAAGCGGGAGAGGGAAAAAAAAAAGAAAAACATTGTGTAGAGTCAGTTCTAAGCAGGAATTACTGTGTGTGGTTTTTTTTTTAATTACTTTTCTCCTGCTTGGAAAATGATTGCAATATATAAAGCAATTTGATTTTATCCTCCCCCAGCATTTTCAAATGTTCTTATACATTATTTTGGGAAAACTAAACTTCCAGAAATACCTTTTGTATTCAATATGACCTAATCAAATATACCACACATATGGGTATATAATTTATGATATTACAAATCTTTTCATTAGAATCTGAAGTGACTTGTTTACCAAGGTTTTGAATGCCTGGGACTGTACTTGATGTGCTGGGAACCTGTAAGTGCTCACATGTGTTGAGTGATGCACAAGTGTGTATCAATTTGACTTGGTCAGTCTGTTCAGAGGAGACCTGGACAGACGCTTCAATACCAGGGCCATAGGAAATGCAAACCTGAAAAGACTCTTTAATTTTCCTTCTGCTTTCTAGTGTTTAATCTTGTTTGTTTGGGGGTTTTTTTTGATTTTTTTTTTTACCCAGTGCTTCAACACTGTTTTTAACTAAGAGTTTATTGCCACATACACGTTCTCCCTTTCAAGCCACCCCACTGTATTGTGTAGTGCTGTGATACACTTGTGATGGGTATCACAAGATGAGAAAGGATGGCTCTGAAGTATCAGATGTTGGACATTGCTTTTCAGAGATCAGTGATTTTAGCTATTACTAGAATTTATTTTTTGGCTTACCTAAATATTAAATGCTTTGAGTTTGTGTTGCAATCTTGCTGTCTCTGATTTCCTGTGAAATTGCAGGAAAAGTGGGGATATCCTAATTTTTATGCCTTGTAAGACTTTAGTGTTCAAAAGGAAAGAGAATGCTATATAGAAAAGTCTGGCCAGTATCAGCAGGTCTGCTACTGTGAATCATAAGTATTATACCAGTGATGTACCTGCAAATAATGTCTGTGTTTTCCCATTAAACTACAACATGAGACTTTGGTAAAATGCAGAAGTAAGAGCCACGCAACTGAAATGAAGTCCAAAGACTGATGAGCAAGTTCAGGTCATGAAAGAGTTTTTTTCTCCAATTGTACTTGGCATCTCTCACTTGCTACAGCAGGCTGCATCTTGCATGCAAATATAGGAGCTTCTATCTTCCAATATTTTTTTGTCTATTTAATGAAAATACTGCAAGGATAGATGGACATGAAACCGTTCTTTGAGACTAAAGCTGTTCCTTCTGTCTTAGCCTTAAAGAGAAACTGAACACATCTAAACCTCAGTCAAAATATATATAGCTGGGCAATAATGAATATAACTGCAAGAAGCTCCCCATGTCCCCTTTGGCTTTCACTTATATTCTGCAAGGGAAGAATATTCAAAACAATGTAAAAGAAAAAAGTTGAGAAGGGAGGAGATTATTTCTTTGCTTTCTGTGACTTCAGAACAAGAGCGAGCTGAGGATAGAGGGTGAGCCCTCACAGACGAGCAATGAAAGCATCCCACGGAACTCACCTGCAATATGAAGAATGGGGAGGGGGCGAGGTGGGCATATTTACCCGGGCAAATTCAAGTGCAGCATTGCCAGCCGCCACTAGCTGTCACTTTGCAAGCAGCCGGGGTCGGTGTTTTCAGCACTGCGGTTGGCGAGATTGCGGTGCTAATTAAACGGAGTAACTCCCAAAGCCGCGGAAAGTCCCGAGCCGGGGGGCTGTGTGAGAGCCGGGCTGGGGGGAACCGAGGAGAGGCCGAAGGGCAGCTCGGGGGAGGCGGAACGCGGCTGTCCTGAGCCGAGGCTGTGCCCAGGGGGCTGCGCCCCGAGCCTGGGCTGGGCACGGCGCTCCAGCCCGCACACACCCTTCGCGTAAAGCCGAGCCTTACCTGAAGAAAACGATCGTCTCCCACACGTAGACTCCGAGCGCGTTGACGTTGCACATTTTTCCAGCTCTCGCTGCTTGTTGTTGTTGTTGTTGTTGTTTTTTGGTTTGTTGGGTTTTTTTTGTACTCCGTGAGGGGTGGGCCGGTGGGGGTTGGCCAATAAAGTAAGCCGGCACTTGGGGAAGGAGCGGCGGGGGGCAGCGAGCCGGGAGGGTCCGCTCAGCACCGCGGAGAGCGGCGGGCCCCGCTCAGCACCCGGACAGCGCCCGGGGCGCGCCCGCCCAGCACCGCGGAGAGCGGCCCCGCTCCTCGGCTCGTCCCTCCTTGCGCCGGGGCCCCCGCCACCGCCACTGCAGTGCTGCTGGGGCCGGAGCTCCGGGCTGCCCGCGCCGAGACCTCCCTTCAGCGGGATGTCGCTCCGGACATCAGGCTGGCGAGAGCGGGAGGCGCAGCGGGCGTAGGTTTGCCATCAGGGTGGTGGGGGTGAGATGGGAGGTTGGGGGGAGAGGGGGGAGCGCGGCGACCCTCGACAACCCCAGGGTTTAATCTCCGCTGCTGGCCGGGGTGTCTTCCTAATTACATCCACAGGAATTTGTCAGTGTGGAGCCGTGCTGCAGTCCCGGTTGTGTCGCTTTCCTGCCCGCCGTTTGGCTGCTGTTGATTCCTGCTTCCTGGGCTGTTTTTTTCTCCCGAATAAGTTATTGCTGCTGTAGGGAAGGTGTCCCATTGCTCGGGGCTAGAGCGGAGGGGAACGAAGGGGAAGTTTCTTGGGAAGCACTTCCATTGTGCTCGGAAAGAAAGTGGCTCACTGTCCTCCTAATGCATCTCATTTCCCCTCTGCCCTCTCTCCCCTGCTAGGACTCGCCAGATCTTGGGAGTTTCTTGCTGCATTAATTTACTAAACTAAAAAAAAAAAGGAAAAGAAAAAAAAAAAAAAGAGGGGGAGGTGGAGATGAGGGAAGGCAGAGGGGAGGGGGTAACTCAGCCTCTCCACCATCCCAAGGCCCTCCTCTTAGCTGTGCTCATTGGTCTCGGGGCTGAAAAAACTACTCTAGGACGTGGTTGGATAAACGCATGTTGTTCAGCAGAGGCTGTTAACCTTTAAAGCGCTGATACGTTTTGGTTTATTTCAGTATTTTTAACCCGAATTGCTGTCTTTTTAAGAAGTCTCTGAAATCGTCTCCCTTGACAGGGCAAGCGTAACGTGCCTTAAATCTCCATCTCGTGGAAGATCTGCTTGGCTGGCTGTTGATATTTGTTGCTGTTGGCTTTTAAGGAACATCTCTGTGTTGTTTGGGGATTTTTGTTTGTTTGTTTGGCTTTGATTTATTATTTTTTCCTTTTTATATTTGTTTTAATTGATTTTTTTTTTAAATTTTTTACATTTGGTTTTGCAAAGAGGTTTGGCAAACACCAGAGCCATCAAGGCCAGGGCAGGTAAGGAGCATTTAGTAGTTACTTATTGCAGCTCCAGCTGTGCTCACAGGATGTTGAGCATGGTGGTCGGGGTGGGCAGGAATGGTCTCAGTCACTTTGTCACTGTGTCACTCCTCACTGCTCAGCTCCTCATCAGCTTCTGAGAATAGAAATGAGAACTTAGTTCTCCTAAACGATCTTAGCATATTGTTTTCTTCTCTATTGTCCTGGTGTAATGGGATTTTTCATCTTCAGTTTCTGTTTTGTTTACCTGTCCTGTGCTTTGCAAAACTCCCCACGGCAAAGAGGCACTTTTAACCCCTTTTAAGCTGCTTTTGATCTGTTCAAGGACTCCTCCCATCCCATGTTGGAAGGGTAGAGGTGAAATGAACTGATGTCTCCACCACTACTGAAGCCCCACCAGGCTAGGAAATAACTAAGTTTTTCTTCTTAGTTTGGGTTTTATCTCAAAGGACTTTTCTGCCTTACTAAAATTTACCTGATGTTTCTGATCTCCTGGTTTTATTTGTTTTAAAGCAGTATGTTTACCTAGTGAAGCAGACAGAAATATCCTTTGGGTTACCATTCCAAAGAAAAGAAAGACCTGCTTGGCTTCTAGCCATTGGTACAGTGGGAATTTAATCAGATTTACTCCAGCTCCTGGGTCTCAGTGTCTAGCTAGATTAATAACAGGCTCTGATTTCAACTCATGGAGATTCCTGGGGACATGACTCCATGCAGTGTTTCCTGCCTGCTGCTTGCTGGCTCCACAATTTACTTCCCCTCTTGACATTTATCCCCACATGGATGAGCCGCTGTCACTGTGCTTTTCCAGCCCCCAGTGTGCTGACAGAGCAGAGGAGGAGCTCCAGACTGGCAGTGTTAACAGGACCCACACAGTAGGAAGGCAGTGGTGTTTCCTTGATTTTTTTTACCGGAAACAGGACAAAGAGCAGGAGGCAGAATCATCTCTTGGCATCTGTGGGTTAAGTCTAGAGGCTGTCAGCCTTCTGGTTCCCTTAGAAATGGAATCTGTAAGAGATGTAACTCTCTCATATGGTATTTCCCTTGCCTGTAAGATTGATCTTTGTCATACCAAAGGTATCTGGACTTGTCTCCTTTTGTCCCCACTTGCTCTCCTGGCACTGCTTTGGGTTAAGGGAAGAAGGATGGCTGTGCTTAAGATCAAGAAAGCAGATGAATCTTTGTGTATATAAGACGAAGAATCTTCACAGCTATTCCTGTTGAAGGGTCTGAAAACTGCTTTTCCCAGGGAAAGAACTTTGCTTTGCTGTTGTCTGTCTTGGTGGTGATGGTGACCAAGTGATTTGTGTGGGACCAGGGACTCTTGTGCTGATATTCAAACTTCTTTCTGGAGAGACTCAGGAACATTGTTTGCTTTGACATTTGGGAAAATGGAGGCAAAGCCAGATATCTGGAGCAGATTTAGGCATCAAAGTGATTTAGACCAGGGAGTAGAAACAAAAGAAATGTAAATTTAAGGAATATGAGTTTTGCATGTCTTATCATGACGACCCCAAAGGAACCACAAATTCTGCATTACATGTTTTTCTGTGCTCTGGTATCTCCCTCTCAAGTGCCCTACACGTGTTCTGTGAACGTGTCAGACCTTGGTCAGGGTGGCATCAGATCCTTGGAACTTACATCCTGTGATTTAACTCAGGTGATTCAAGGAACGGCCAACCAGTCCTCATTGCAACCCATCAATAGGGATATCTGGGGTCAAGTTACCCACGTTGGTTCTGTGCAATTCCAGGTGTTTAGGTTTTCTTTTGTTCTCCAAGAAGCTAAGGGCAGATAAACTGGAAATAGTTCTGGAGATCTAATAATGACTGGAAGTCAATTTTATCACTGTTACTCTAAGTAACCCTTGTCATCAGGTACTTCTCTCCCTGGATCTGTCCTGACTTAGATCGAGTTTTAGCTTTCTGCTTGGTTTAGCTGCAGTGCTTTGTGATTTATTTTTTTAGGGGGAAAGGTTCACTTGCCAGGTCTCCCATTTTTCAAGCAGAGTCCAAATGCTTCTGAGAGGCATTTGTCTTTCTTTGGCAGCACTTGTACAAATGACAGAGTTGAAGATAACTTTCCGTGATGTCAAATGAGCTCTTAAAATTAGAACTACCTGCTGTGCGTTCATCTTGTTTTTAGTTTCAGAGTAGATGAGTCTTGTAAAACTCACTTGTAGGTGAAGTTGTCTGGAAAGCTCTTGTGTTATCGCCTTTCTGGGCTGTGAGTGATGGATTCTGTTCAATATAAGACACCACAGAGATAATGATTTTAATTTGTTTTCAGTGCTCAAGTGAAATTTGGGGACACCTGAAGAAAAGGGTTTTACATGAGGAGTGATAAAAGCCAGGGAATATCTGTTTCTGCAGTTTCCTTTAGGTGGTTCCTCCCTGATCCTTTCCCTTTGAAGAATGCAAATGAGTTTCTTCTCTGTGGAGAAAATTAATATTCCTGGTAGTCTGTGACTTCATTTTGGTTTTGATAGTTGCTAGAACAGCTTAAAGACATGAAGCACAGAGAAGGCCTTGGAAAGCACTCTGTAATGTACATATTCACATGTAAAGGTGAACATGCACCCTATGCTGAGAATTAACCTAAAGCCTCATTCACAACTGCAGGTTGATTTAATCCTTATTTTATTTTTTTGTCTCTGGATTTTATAGCGGGTGGAGTAAATTTTAGTTTCCTTTGCTTGCCGTTAAAAAATTCACATTCTGATAATAAATTCATCGTGGGGACAAACTCCTTCAAGTTGGCCATTCACACACACTGCCTTCCTCCACCAAATAAATTACAGGATTTTTGGTGAAGAAGTGGCTGGCATAGCAGTAAAGTACACTCAGCCTATCTTGGGAATACTAAATCCATTATTGTCAGTTTGTTCTTTGGAGAATGGCTAATGAGGAAACAGTGCCCCAAGAACTTGGATTGTGCTTCCCAAGGCAGAGATTCAAATTGCTACAGCAGCACTACTTGCCTTTTGACACTGAACAAATGAAAAACAAATTTTAAATTAGAGTTAAGTTCAGGGAATTTTGCAAAGGATTCTATAAAGTAATTTCCTATTCAGCTAATTTCCATGTGCAGTAAGCTATTTCTCTGCAAGGCGGTTCAAGTAAATACAGTTTTCTTAGAAACTTGAAAACCCGGGATACTTTTTTTAAAACAAAATAATTGCCGGTAAAATAACACCATAAAGCATTTCTGCAGTGATTTTTAAAGTGTTTAGTCAAGGTTCTTTGCTGAAAAGATTTACAGATGAAAGAGAATTCACTGGAACTAGTGTATAGGTCCATCTTCCATCCATGGTTCAAAAAATATGATTAAAATTGAACTTTGCTGAAAAGTTTGATGAATTCTGTTTTGATATGCATTGGCTCTTTGGAAAACAACCCCTGGAGTGTCTTGCATAGGAAATTCAGCCAGCTTGCAGCCTGAGGTTGGAAGGCTAGTAGGGATGGAGGTGAGGGATTTGTGGTGTAGATGACTGATATTTTTGACTGAAATTCAGACCAAATATCACTGTTGATGGTATTTTACTCCACATATTTTAAAAATTATAGGTCTAACTCTGTTTGAGGTTCAGCCCTACATCTTTCTCTGCAAACAGAGCAGTTATATGGATTGTCCATGACCTTCCCACTCCTGGGCAGTATATTTCTTGACAAGTAGATT